TTCCTAGTTTCAAAACGGTGATGGTTTCTAAAAACTTTTCTTCTCTCAAGTGCTATAAAATTTATATAAAATGAAACTAAATAGAATTTTGATTCTTCTGAAAGAAAATTGAAAATCATAACTACTTACACTGTGATGGCCAATGAATCTACCCCAGTTAAGAAGGGTATTAACTTGCAAAAACTTAGTCTCATGTTCGAACCCCATATGATAACTTGGTAACTTGTATTGTGATGAGCAAAATATTTCTGGGCAGCCCATGTCTTTTTTCTTTCCAGAGTAAGAAAGAAGTTAGCATGCAATAATACATGTCATAACATCTAGGGACCAAGTCATATTTACCAAAATAGAAGATTTCATCAATAAATACAAGAAAGTCTAGGAGACCTTCGCAAAATTCCATAGTGACAGTCAAGCATAAAAGGGTAGGATATCATAGCTCAAATTAACAGCAAAAATGGCAGAAGTGAAGCTCTTTAGGACATGGTCAAGTCCTTTTGCTTTGAGAATAGTTTGGGCACTGAAACTCAAAGGTGTCTCATATGAAACAATCTATGAAGATCTTTCAAACAAAAGCCCTTTACTTCTTCAGTATAACCCTATTCATAAGAAGGTTCCAGTGCTTGTGCACAATGGAAAACCAATTGCTGAGTCACTTGTAATTCTTGAATACATTGATGAAACTTGGAAGGAAAACCCCTTGCTGCCTGAAGATCCTCTTGAGAGAGCCGCCGCACGCTTTTGGGCCAAATTTGGTGATGAGAAGGTAACCTAAAACCACTCTTCCAAAATCAGATATTTCGATGCCTGTAAAACTTAAATATGGCACAATAATTTTGTACTAGTTACTCTGCAAATTTTCATATTAAGTTTCACACACTTGACTAAGATTTTCTGGGCAAAAAATAAAAGTAAATATAATGGAAGTGTATTATGTAGATGATATATGTGGCATCCCTGCTAATTCAAAAGAAAGGTAGTCAATAAAATATTTTTCACTGTTTGATCGTTTGGTTTGGTTTGTGATTTGCCATGAAGGTTTTGCCATCTATTTGGGAGTCATTTACCAATGAAGGGAAAGGGCAAGAGGAAGCTATTGTAAAAGCCAAGGAAAACTTGAACTACTTGGAAGAAGAGCTAAAGGGAAAGAAATTCTTTGGGGGAGAGAAGCTTGGATTAGCAGATATTGCACTTGGATGGCTTGCACACTATGAGAGTGTGTTTGAAGACGTAGCCGGAATGAAATTGTTAACAGAAGAAGAATTTCCATTGCTATCAGCATGGAAATTGACTTTTGCAGATGCTCCTATAATCAAAGATAATTTGCCGTCTAGAGACAAACTCGTTGCCAAATTTCAGGCTACCCGTGAGGATCAACTTTTGAAAAAAACACCAAAATGAGATGGCTTGCGACCATTTCATGAATGGAAACGAGGGGAAGAGTTAGATACTGGTCTTACTATCAAGAAGTACAAAGAGGATCATGGATTTTAGTAAAATAAGAAATATAAATGAGAGTGTGTTTAAGAGTATTTTTTATCATGCCAAAGTCACTTCTTCTTATTGTGTACGGTTTGGTTGAACTCTTTAATAGTGTTTTTCTTCTCTCTTTTCGGGCTATTGAAGCTCTTCTGGTCTTTTCTTGCAGATGATCAAGTAAATGTTTTATGTGTTTCTACCACTTAAGCTATTAGCATAAGTGTTAATGAGTGAAAAGGTACCAAAAATTCCTAATTAAAGTCTATAATAACTTCTAGTAAGCATTTACCAAACAAGTACAGGAAGGAGAACAGGACAACCTAGGGTGACTTTGTAAAGAAAATAACAGGCACAAATAGAATCTACTAACTCAAATGGCTAGAGTGTGGAGAAATAATCATGTGCATTCCCAACCATGTAATTGCAAATATGGAAGCAAAAACCCCATGGGATTCAAATAACACATACCTTGGCTGCTTCATTCCATAACTTCTTTGCAGCCACAATACTGTAAAATTGTAGCTCTGCTGTTTGTTCTATCCTTGCAGTCTACAATCCTATATCAAAATGTAAATGCCTACTGTCACAATTTACGAATTTCTCAAACAACCAAGATTGGAACTTGACTGAAAGAAACATATATTGGGTTTTTACATCTTATATTTTGAACATTAACTCGGTTATATAGTAAAAGTGGAGATACCAAAGTGTAAGGGATCATCTAAAGAGCCATTACAAGTACATACACAACAATTTTATAAGGGTCATAGTAACAGAGGCATTTTATCAAACACCCAGCAGGCAAGATTTTGACATGCATTTGATTCAAAAAATGTACTCTGAATTCTAACTTTTACACAAGCCAGGAAGATCAACGATTAAGCCCACGAACCGTCAGAAGCCTATAAATGCAAATGCTCATTGCCCCGGTAGCTTATAAACCCTCTGCAACTGCATTCAACACCATGGAGAAGGGCAGGAAAAAAACAAATAAATCGCAAAAGGTGCAAAAAAAATTTGGACCATTTCTCGATTTATGCGTGTCATCCTTGCGCAGGGGCCATGCTAATCTTCTCTGTATCGTTCCAATTTTATCGGATGTCCCCGAAGGGACGAGCTTTATTATTAAACGACCATATATAAATCGTTCATGCATTTAGGTGTTTTCCAATGTGGGACTTATTATGCACTCTCCTTTTTAATAGTCAAGCCGTTTCCTTGTCAACACTCAGGTTTCCTTCCTTTCCAAACCAAAATTTAATATAAACAATTATAAAATATAAAATAATTGTTGCCTTCTCAACTATTGTTTTCCAGAAAAAAAAATTTTGAAAATTGAAAAACATTATCAAATTATTGCGTGGGATCTTGACTTGGAACAGAGCCCAAAGTCCCCATGCCAATTTATTAGATTCTTTATCATTATCCTCATTTATAATATTTTATTTGTTTTTTGAGGCAGAAATCGGGTCTCACTTGATGTTTGATATTTCCAAAGAGCATCTGTGCATAGTCTCCACTTGGACGAAAAACAGGCCTGTTTCGGTTCCATGACGTCAGAGCTTACACAAGAACCCAATCATTATTTCATTTCATACAAGAACCCTTTCTTTTTCCCTGGACACACTTTTCCCCCATATTTTTCCTAATTTCACAACGGTGATGGTTTCTTAAAACTTTTTCTTCTCTCAAGTGCTATAAAATGAAACTAAATAGAATTTTGATTCTTTTGAAAGAAAATTGAAAATCATTATGTTGCCAAATAACACAACTACTTGCATTGTGATGACCAATGAATCTATCCCAGTAAAAAAGAGCATTGATTTGCAAAAACCTTATGTTCGAATCCCATGATAACTTGATAACTTGATAACTTGTATTGCGATGAGCAAAATATTTCTGGCAGCCGATGTCCTTTTTCTTTCCAGAGCAAGAAAGAAGTTAACATGCAATAATACATGTCATAACATCTAGGGACCAAGTCATATTTACCAAAATAGAAGGTTTCATCAATAAATACAAGTAAATATAAGTTTCACACACTTGACTAAGTTTTTCTAGGCAAAAAATAAAAGTAAATATAATGGAAGTGTATTATGTAGATGATATGTGTGGCATCCCATTTGAAGCTAATTCAAAAGAAAGTTAGTCAATAAAATATTTTTCATTGTTTGATTGTTTGGTTTGGTTTGTGATTTTTCATGAAGGTTTTGCCATCAATTTGGGAGTCATTTACCAATGATGGGAAAGAGCAAGAGGAAGCTATTGTAAAAGCCAAGGAGAACTTGAAGTACTTGGAAGAAGAGCTAAAGGGAAAGAAATTCTTTGGGGGAGAGAAGCTTGGATTAGCAGATATCGCACTTGGAATGCTTGCACACTATGGGAGTGTGTTTGAAGACGTAGCCGGAATGAAATTATTAACAGAAGAAGAATTTCCATTGCTATCAGCATGGAAATTGACTTTTGCAGATGCTCCTATAATCAAAGATAATTGGCCGTCTAGAGACAAACTCGTTGCCAAATTTCAGGCTACCCGTGAGGATCAACTTTTGAAAAAAGCACCAAAATGAGATGGCTTGTGACCATTTCATGAATGGAAACGAGGGGCAGAGAGAGGATCATGGATCTTAGTAAAATAAGAAATCTAAATGAGAGTGCGTTTAGGAGTATTTTTTATCATGCCAAAGACACCACTTCTTATTGTGTATGGTTTGTTTGAACTTCTTCTCTCTTTTTTCGGTTTATCGAAGCACTTCTGGTCTTTTCTTGGAGATGCTCAAGTAAATGTTTTATGCGTTTCTACTAATTACGCTATTAGCATAAGTGTTACTGAGTGAAAGGCACCAAACAAGTCCTAATAAGAGTCTATAATAACTTCTATGAAGCATTTACCAAACAAGTACAGGAAACAATTCCAGGAGAAACAGAACAACCTAGGGTGACTTTGTAGAGAAATACAGACGCAAACAGAATCTACTAACTCAAATGGCTTGCAATTTGCAAATATGGAAGTAAAAACTCAATGAAATTCATATAACATATAACTTCTTGGGTTTTTACATCCCACATTCTCAACATTGCCTCGGTTATATAGCAAGATTGGAGATACCAAAGTGTAAGGATAAGCTAAAGATCATTGTAAGCACATACTTAACAGTTTTGTAAGGGTCATAGTAACAGAGGCATTTTATCAAACACCTAGTAGGTGAGCTTTTGACATGCATTTGATTTGAAAAAGTACTTTGAATCCTAACTTTTACTCACACCTGGAGGATGAACGATTAGGCCGATGAACCATCAAAGCCTATAAATGCAAATTCTCATTGTTCAGGTAGCTTATAAACCCTCTGCAACTGCATTCAACACCATGGAGAAGGCAGGAAAGAAATATATCGCAAAAAGTGCCAAAAAAATTTGGACCATTTCTCGATTTATGCGTGTCATCCTTGCGCAGGGGCCATGCTAATCTTCTCTGTATCATTCCAATTTTATCGGATGTCCCCTGAAGAGGACAAGCTTTATTGTGAATCGGTTATATATAAAGGTTTCACGAATAGCAGAGTCTTCCGATATGGGACTTATGCTGCCTCCTTTTTAATAGTTAAGCCGCTTCTACCTTTAGTTATCGGGCCCAATGGTTAAAAACCCGATCTGCAACAGGATAATTCTAACAGTCAACGAGTTTAATATCTAGTTTGCCTTGCCCTAAAACAACTGCAAAACAAAACCAATACCAACCACAAGAGTGATTCTGCTATCTGGTTGGGAAGGGCACAAACAAAATTTCTCCACTCCATCTTTGAGACTTGCATGGGATCCATCCATGTAATGTGGCAGTACTGGATGCACTCGTTTTCGTAATCATAACACGGTTTCGAAGTATAGGATATTATGTAAAACATGGATTGTAGATGACAAAAAATCTTACAGAAAATGTGTAAAAGCTCCACAAGTTAATGGTTTTAATGTCAAAGCCAGTCACAATGTCAGCAACTGATCTATAATCTTCTGCAACTAGGGAAACAAACGATAGCCGATTCTACGCAATTTACGAAAAGCTTCATGTCTGAATTGCGGCCCCAGTATAGTTGAGTTCTGCAAGACATACAAGTTGTAGTCCATAATTCATGCAAGAAAGAAAGAAATACTTTAGTCATTGAAGTTTGTAGGCCGACTTTTCATACGCATTTCATCAACCCCAAAGACTGAACATTCAGTCTCTAAACAATCAAATACTTGGAAAAAAAACATCGTTTTAATACAGAAAAGTAATTTGAAGATGAAAACTAGAGAGTGGAGCTCATGTATGTTGGTTTTATTGAACTAAAAGAAACAAAGTTGAATGGAGCCTCTCTCAACACTTTGAACCAAGCAAAACTGATATTGAAATGAATTGCATATAAACCCATATGCTGTCTTGCCTTGTGAGCATTGACCAAGCAAGCAACACCAGCAATTCCACAGGAGTGTAAAAGGGATTATGTAAACATCATTGAAGAAGTGCAAACTTGATCAATGTTATAAGGGCCATAGTAGCAGAGTCATTTCATCAAACAGCTGGTAGGCGAGCTTTTGACATGCAGTTCATTATTGAAAAAAAAATATTGAAGACTCTCTGAGTCACTGAACATCAAATACTGGCCATTGATGCTTTTTCTAAAGCTAGAAAAGTAGATTCAATTCAAACTTTTACTCAAACCTGCAACTGGAAAATGGGATTGTTGGAAAATCACACGCAAAAAGAGCCAAAAAAATTTGGACCATTTCTCGATTTATGCGTGTCATCCTTGCGCAGGGGCCATGCTAATCTTCTCTGTATCGTTCCAATTTTATCGGATGTCCCCGAAGGGACGAGCTTAATTACGCAACGTATGTATATAAAGGTTTTGCAAATAGCGGAGATTACCGATGTGGGATTTATGCTACCTTTTATTTAATAGTCAAGCCGTTTCCACCTTTAGTTATCGGGCCCCAAGCCCAATCTCCAACACATACTCCACGTTCTTTAACTATTGGGCCTTACATTGTGAAAAGAATTATAGCCCCAATTTTTCATTGCATACATCCTAAGACTTCTTGATTAACATTGACCTGAGCCTTGGAGAGTTTTTTCCAGGTACAAAAATCCCTAGTGCCTTGTACAGATCTAGTCCCTATATCAAACCGCCCCAGTCATTTCTCCATTCCAGGTATTAATCTTCGGCTTAACTTCTCTTTCATGAGAAACTAAGCTCCAATAGTTTAAAACCAGATTTGTCACAGGATAATTCTAACAGTCAACGGGTTTATTGTCTAGTTTGCCTTGCCCTAAACAACAACTACAAAACAAAGCCAGCACCAACCACAAGAGTCATTCTTCTGTGTGGCAGTCCGGCAGCACACTCACAAGGGTGGGATCAAGTCGTATAGCCACATGGTCCAGCCTACGGGATATAAGAATTTCTACAACCACAGCAGCCTTCGCCACCCATGATGGAGCCACAACACAACTGATATTTGAACTAAAATAATGACAATAATAAAAGATTGTTCGCTTCTTGTCATGGCTGTTTTGAGCAAAATGAAATGCATCAAAACTTGCTGTCTACTGAATTATAGGATATTGGTATAGCCATGAAGTGAGAACAAAAAGGCCTGGAGCTTTGGAGTAAAAGACTTGTTGGTACCTCCTAAAAATTATATACTGCTACATAACTGCACTAATCATCAAAAACATATATACATCACTTCTCTGATCAACACTCCAGAAATCCGATACAATGGGACAAGGTAACTAAAAAACTTAACCATGTTGACTTTCTTACGAAAATAAATATTTTGAACACACGCAAAACCCCCTTATATGCAACAATGAACAACACTCAAAGTGTTTGCTTGCCATCTTCATCCATGGTAGAGACTGGCATTTTCCATAACTTGGAGTTCTTCTTTGGGTCATCGGTAAGACTGAGATATGTATCGTCTTCTTTGAATGTTCTAATGAATTTTTTAGCACCCATCATGATAAGCCTTTCAACCATGAACAATTGGTAGTTATTTCCAATCACAGGATCCAAAATGTGGCTAAAATTTGATGAGTAAGCCAATTTGTATCTGCACATAGGGGAACAGTTCTTTAGAGCCAGAAAGGACCCTTTTGATTGGCACAGGTATAATGACTGTCAATTCACAAAGCAGTTTACCCCAATTGACATGAAAATATATTAACATACAAATAATACCTCTGCCCCTTCATAAGAAAGAAATGTAAACGCATGAAAATTCAGTTTCCATTGTAAAACTTGAACCAATGTTGGAAGCTCCCAGTTAAGAAATAGTAACAGGAGGAGCATATTACAGTAGTTCAACAATCAATCATAGTGACACGTGAAAGATTCTCTCATCAATATTCAGAACTCCAGCATCAAACAATTTAAGCTCATTAAATTTATCTTTTGTCCTGACTACTGTAGTCTCAATCAATTGAAAAGTTCTTAGGTGAGAAAAATAATAAGTAATTTGAATCATGGACATTTTCTGTCAACGTTATCCTAGAAATTTTCTACTAATGGTAATCCTGAGCTTAAATTTCAGACCCAACCAAGCAGTCCTCAGGGATTATTAGGTTAAAGTGTAACTGCTAGAAGAAAAAACACGAAAGAATGAGAAAGCAACCTTTAACAAAACATGCACGGAATATTGTTGGTTGTAGCACATAAACACACAGATTTTCATCTTTAAAGTAGATGGTCCAGAGAACATGAGAAGGATGTACCTGACTGTGAGAGGTGAAAAAAATCCTGGCATCCTTTCATTTGAAGCAATAAAAAGAGTTCGTCCAGGTGGGACCCATTTTTCAATTCTGTGGAGAATAAACTCTGGCCGTGTATCCCTGTCCAGATGAGGATGCAGGGTCCTGTCAACACCAAACCTGTCCTTCCTGGTCTTAATTTTATCGCCACGACGAACATGAATTGCATCATAATCACCAAGGAGTGCCTTAATCTGTGGAAATAGTTTGATCAAAGTCTGTAGTGGCACTGACATGTACAGGAAATAATTCGAGGGCAAAATGCAGAAACAGAAGGACCTATGGTAATTTTGCAGAAACAGTTACATACAAACATAAAATTCTTTCTTAAAAATCAAAATGCTATAATGGACTTATTATATACTACATACTACAAACTTAAGCAAAATAGAATCATAAAGAATTAAAATGCAGACCCATATATCAGGAATATTGTGCCTCCTAGCTATTTATAATTTTATTCCATGATGTTGACCACAACCACAACCACCACCTTCACCAACACATGCTGTAAATTATTTTTTATGCAATTGTAATAGGGGGGGTTACATGGTAAATCACATGTCCTGTTCAGCTATTTAGCCATTATCTTATGGGCATCCTGGTCTCTAATTACTCAAAACACGTGTGTCACTCATACCATTCACATTTACCATCATTCACATATGATATACATTGTTACTAAACTTGAAATAATTTCCAACTCTCAATTGTATTACCGTGATCCTTGATAATTTAATGTGGTTTTTAATATTATGAATCATTCGACAACCATACTTGAAACAAATTCTTTGTTTTTTCCTTCCTTCTAACATGCACAGAAAGAGGAATGCTGAGATATTATTATTCATCGAAATTCATTTCACTTTAAAATGTAATAAATTATAATCCATTTCAAGTTCCCAAAATCTTACAAAATAAGATACTCAATATCTGGCGAAGATTAACCTAAATGAATAGAGCAACTAAAGTTGAGGTAAAATTCCACAATGCAAGTTGGTGGGTACAAGTAGTCAGATAAATCAACAATTCAGGCAGCAATCAAACATCTTACAAGTAGCCACTATAAATTGTGAATACTAGTTCACAATCATACTCTAAACAGAACCTACAAACTTAAGTGACTAGAGAGTAATAGATATTGATGTGTTTCCCAGCAACAATTCCAACTTTAGTTCCAATGCTGATTGACAGGCTGAAAAAATTCAGTACCCAATTACTGGAAGCTTTAGTTACAATGAATATAACTCAGAATCATGTTGCAGAATAAGAAAACAGAAGAAAGAGCATTTGTTTGGAAGCTTAATGTAATTGTATCAAATATGGAAATAAAACTTCATGGGATTCATATGACACATACCTTATCAGCTACGTTCCTTAAGTTCTTTGCTGCCATTGAGGGGAGAAAGGAGTATGGCAAAAGTACAGCACTACGGTCGTTTCGATCCTTGCACTCCATAAACCTAAATGGCTATCATTATGAATTCCTCAAACAACCAAGATTGAAGTTTAAGTAATACTCACGTAACATAGCCAAACGAAACAAATTTTAGTTTTCTGAACAAAGTACAACAAACGCAATCCAAATAATGCAGTCTTTCAAGAAATATAAGTGATTATTTAAAAAAAGAAACACATCAAACGTATCAAACATCCTTATCAGGGCCATTGCAACAGGTTCATTTATAGTTTCAGAAAATATTATAAACGTTGAAATAGTCTGCCAACTGTATTTGAAGGTCTGTCTTGCATTAACTAAAAACCACATTTAACTTTTCGTAGTAACAAAATGCAACCACAACTTTGATCTCAAGTCAAGCGACAGCCACATCATTCAAACAAACAAGCAGAGGTTTTGTTCCCTCGAAAAAATCTTAAAGCTCTCAGCAATAAATGAAAAAAGAAGAAGTTACCATGACAGAGGGCTTGCAGTTCTGTTTATCAGCAAAAGATTTGAGAAACGACTGTTCTCTTTGAGATCAACACGACTAACTCGTTCCACATGAGCAACTCCTCTAGCTCCCAACTTCATACTTGTTGTTAGCACCTGATACCACAGTTTTGAATTGTCTAAAATTACTGGTACAGTGTCCGATATGAGGTCCATATCATACAAAGAGTCCATGGAACAAGACTTTGCTGCCCACCTAACAAGTAAAAGGAAGCCAGTTCACATTGTATGCTATGTGCACTGTGATTAATAAAAATGTATTTACAAACACTATGGAGGGAAAGTACACATCTAAACCCATCACGTCTCAATATTATATTTCTGAGGAGATTACAAACTTGAAACAGGAAATTAGCGCCATTTTCGCAAAAAGTAGCAGTAGAATTCTTCCACAGGCCAAAAAAAAAAAAAACAAAAATCTCTTGAAACCCAATGAAGAAGTTCAAAAAAATAAAAAATAAAAAATAATAAAAAAACTTACGTTTCTTCTGAATTTGCAGTATTTGAGCGACGAAGGATCCCTTTCTTATTGTGTATTGGGTTGATACACATTCTGGAAGGCATTACCAAGGTTCTGCAAACAACAGCAGTAAAATACTACACAAGATTACAAAGGTACTCAACAGATATGAACCAGGTGGTGAAGTTCATGGACATTGGGTGAGTAGCTCTGTACTAACTATGATGAACTTATTCCAAATTTATGAAGCAAACCTAGACATATGACAATTGGTTCATGCCAAATCCTATTCCTAACCCATTAAACTAATCCTTATCATAATAGAGCCAAATTTCCACAACTCTCGGTTTTCCCATATTTTTCTCAGCGGTCACAGAGCATAAACTCCAAAAACAGAAATAAAAACAAAAAGAAATCTAATAATCCAAGAGATGACATGAAATACCTCTTAAGGAACATGGCCTCTTCAAGAGCACACCGGAGGCTGGACTCCTGGTGGCCCAGACCTTCACAGGATTCACAGTGCTTTCCAGGGCAATCAATTCTGTTACCCCAGTAGAGGAACTTCTCGTGGCCATTCTGGTCATTCTGGTCATTGTTCTCGGACTTGGTCACATTTTCTAGGCCTTCTGGGGAGGATACAGGGTTTGTGGAAATGAGAGAGGCAAGGAAGAAGAGGAGC